CCCGCCCCCCAACTTGTCAGCGCTGCTTGTAACTGCTGGCCCTGAATCGATCCTCTGTCCCGAACCTCCTGGTTGCAGGAGAGGAGATTGCCCTCAATCAACCCATTGGACGGAGAAGATGGGCCTGGCCTGGGAACGAGCACACACAGGTGCTTCCATTGCAGCAGTTAGCTGATGGAGGCACCCGTGCGCGGGTAAAGCGCTGTGGGGATTACCAGAGACTGAGTAATTGAAAGATTAGAAAAAAGTAAATACCAGATCTGAATCTCACAGGGGTGTTGCCATGTCTACAAATAAAAAAAAAAAAGAAAGGTTTAATGTCACTTTAGGTTAGAAAGGAAATTTGTCTACTGTATGCATAGTGACCCGCCCAGTTATCATCAGAGGATACATTTCTGGGAAACTGAATTATACAGAAAAGAAACTGAAAGTTTGTGGAGCAGCATAAAAGGGATTGGTGGAATCCCCCTCCAAGTTTTTGAAATGCAGAATTCTGCACCATCTGCATTCCACAATTGGGAGCTGCCTATCTTACAGCATATAATTTTCAAGAAACGGTCCAGCTTTTAACTTTTCTAATGGAAGATTTGCAAAGTGCTATTCCCATAAATGTTTTATACATACTACACATAACATTGAATAAAGTGTCAGCATGCAGTAGTGATGGGCCACTTTTTCAAGTCGGACTCCTGGATTTAAGAGATACTCTGACCTATAACTTTAACGAGTATTGCATTCAAGACTTTGATTTCAGTTTTGGGTAAATGCTTTGCTTTTGCTTTACCAGCTTATATATATATATATACACACAAAAAACATTTTTAATAAATAACAAGTTAAAAGTAATTTAACCGCTTTAAAATTGGCTTAAGCTGACCATACACCTATAGATTTCCTATGGGCAGATGGAAAAAGTGCAACAGATTCCTCCATCTACGCTACTTTGTGGATGGAGGAATCTCCCACTGGGCCAAGCTCCAGTATTTTGCTTGTCGGTATAGCTGGCTGTCAAAATACCTGAACAATCTGATTGGATGCAGGCATTGTTCAGGTATTTTGAGAGCCAGTGATCAAGCTACTGTTTCTATGTTGAAGATAATTTGCGACATGTGTACCACAACCTGGAAAATCGCAGATTGCATTTTCTCCCAGGAATGTTTAGTTTCTGTACCGTATAAACTAATATCTGCACTGCAGTGTAGCACAGGTTGCCACATTGGGCTGACTACCTCTGATAAGTACCAGAAACGTAACAAAGGGAGTCTGAACCAGGAGAAGCTGCCTCCTCCCAATGCTTAGCTAAGCTGCAGCAGGAGGAGGCAGATGGCAGGTTCCCTATGACTAGTGTCCGGATGGAAACTTGCTAGAGGGAGGGGGCAGCTTTCTGCTGCCTCCACTTCTCTCCCCCCAGTGATATTTCTGATCATGGGGGAGAGAGAAGTGCTAGTGAGCTGCTTAGCTTCCCTACACAGTGGCTGAGCTCCGGTATGTACTGGCACAGTAAAGGTGCCCATACACTGCACGATTCTCGTGCGAGAATAGCGGGAAATCCCGCGATCGTACGAGAATCGTGCAGTGTGAATGAAGACGTGCAACCGTTTCTACTGTACGGTCGCACGTCTTTTGTCTAAGGAGCATGCTAGAAAATCTTGCGTTTTTCGGCTGGTTTGAATGATGCTTGGGAGACAAATTGTGAACGGGCCGGTGTGCGCACACTGCCCGTTCAGCATTGCGGTCATCGGAAGCCTGCCCCTCGGGGACGGGCTTGCGATGATCGCATGTACGATCTGCCTGTCCAAGATGGGCAGATCGTACGTTTTTTACATTACTTTACAACCAGCGCAAGACTAAAGTCTTGCGCTGGTTGTAAAGTGTATGGCCACGAGTCCATGAGGGACCTCTGTATGCCAAGGCACTGTGCACGTAAATATACATGGCACAGTGCCCTGCATCTGCCCCATGTATGGTTTGTCTGACCCATTTGGTCTGTCCTCTTATAGATGCATGAAAGAGAATGAGAAATTAATGGTGGTACACAGGTCTTGGGCTCCATTCTCACCTATGTGATCCTGCATCACTTATTGCACTGTTGGGTGCACTTTGGTGCCATTATTTCTTAATGGCACCTAGCCATCACATGTGTTTTGTATCAAACCACATTGGATGGTAACGTATCATGCTGTATGGTTGAATGCGATTTAAAAAAAAGAGTGCACACTTTTTTCTGTGTGCTTTTTAAGCTGCGGCCTACTACCACCCAGTGCACCCAGCAGCATCGCAGAGGTGCGAATGATGGCTTAGTGGGTATGCTTTTATATAAAAATGAAGGAAAGAAAAGTGAACAGGATATGATATGATAAAGCAATCGGTTTCCTGTTTTCATTCTTCTTTACAGAACAGGAGACGAGGCTACATTTAATGCTGTGCTAAACGCTTCACTACTGCTTTATAATTGAGCGGTCTTGTCCTAGACTCCACATATAGATGTGAGTTGACTGGCAGTCAATGGTTTCTACCATTAGTATGAATTGTAATTTGTACTTTTCTATGTGTTTTATATAAATCAGTACATCACTCCATGCAGCATCTTTCTTGACCATTTCCTCCTGTTATAAAATGCTGCCGCTTAGTGCCCACAGACAGCAATAATTCCAGGCTTCGTCGTTGTGGATGTTTTTCCTTCTCACACGGTAATAACCAGGAGGAGAAGAATCAAGATGATCTGACAGTTTTAAGCTTTTAAAAAAACAGTTCAGCTAAACTTGCTGACTCTTAACCGCCATACGTTTTGCATGAATGAAACTTATATTGTTTCATTAATTATAGTGACTGAACATGTATGTATGTTATTTCCAGCTTTCTGAATATTAGGCTTGAATGGCGATGAGTTTGTTATGAATTAAACGTTTACATAATTCCAAAATCACAATGGCGGGTGGGGTTTGCTTTTGACATTTTTGGCAGCCAGTCGTGCATGGCTGTGTTTTTAATGTTTTATGCTTTTCATTGAGCATGTCCTAGATAAGGGCATTTGTTGGTTCCATGTGTAGAAGTAGTTATGCTTTTCTAACATTTTGCAAAAAGAGAAAATAATTGTTAGAGTAATTTGAAATGGTTTTAAGGTAGAACTGACATCAACACCTTCTTGTTTTGGATGTAGTGAGGGAGACTTGGGGATGCACCGATAGTAGTATATGTGCCGATACCGAGTATTTGGGCAACTACTCGTCCAAACCTAATACCTTCCCCGATATCAGAACTTGCGGTCCCAGGGAGATTTCCTCTGATTGGCAGTGCTACAAAGAAACATGGATTCGGCTTCCGGACCAATCGGGAAGTCGGACGGCGGGTAAAGACTTGCCGCCCAGCTTCCTGATTGGCTGGGAAGCCGGCTTCCCAGCCAATCATCATCGAGCCGGCCAAACTGCAGCCGCCTCCATGTTTCCTTGCAGCTTAATGCTGCAGAAGTATCGGTACTCTGCATCAGCAAGTACCGAATTATACATATCAGTACTCTATACCGAAGAACTGGTATCAGTGCATCCTTAGTTATAACCTTTTGTCAGATTTTTTTCTTTGGGGTGATTTCCCTTCACTTTAATAACCCCAACAGGAAGTGAAAGGAAATCCCTCCAAAGTGAGGGAAATCTTTGGTGGTTGGCATCGTCGCCAGAACGAATGTCCCCATTGGAAGATTTCCCAGCTATCCGTGTTCCAGTGACAACCCAAAATGTGGGATATTCTTATAAGTCACCAGAGTGAATGAAGAGGGTGAATCTCCCTGGCAGGTAGTAGTGCCAGTGCTTGCCTGCCCATCGCTTCTCTCATATACATTCCTATAGGCCAGTGAGGCAGTCCATCCCAATGATGGGCCAATAGAAATGTATGAGTGGAGGGAACAGGATAGTTATGGCACTGCCAGAAAGTGCTGTACTTTGCTTGAAGTTTTGGTCACCTTTTAATGCATCCTATTGAGTATTTCTACCCCAAAACAGTTCATTTTCAACAGTACATTTAATTTTGCATTTTTTGTTTTGTATTCTAGTGTAAGCATTATCGATAGCACTTTAGAGACATTGGGTGATTTCACATTAGACTGTTCCTATGGGAGCTTACCATTGTCCGTTTGGCAGTCATGCAGACAGATGCATAACCTGTTCGTTTAGGACCCAGGTAACCTGTTTTTATTTTGAACTAATCGATTATGAAAATAATCTACGAACCTGCACTTGGGGTGAGCGTAGGGCAGCGTATGGCCGCTTACACTCATAGAGAAGGACAGGGGCTGCGTACTAGTCACACACAGCACCTGTCCTTCCCGGGAGCTGCCCAATACGGCCGTGCACGGTGCAGTACGTGCCGGCCTTTTCTCGTGTGAATGAGGCCTTGCTGAGGCTGCGTCCAGTTAGAGATGTACCAGTATTTATGAAATTAAGATTTTTGGTAAATGGCTGTAAAGTGGTTGATTTCACTGTAGGACATTGCTTTGATCTGAAAGAAGAATGCTATCAATTACAGTAGGTGGTTATATTTATATTTTTATTTACATTTTCTTTTACTCCCTCATTTTCAGGTTACTCACTATAAACAGTACCCTCCAAACACAACCAAAGTATATTCCTACTTTGAGTGTCGGGAAAAGAGAACAGAAGACTCCAAATATAGGAAAGTGAAATATGATGAAACTGTATTTTATGGATTGCAGTATATTCTAAAGAAGTATTTGCAAGGTAATTCCTCCACCAACAATACAACTGCTTTCTGTAACGTTACAAATGTCTTCTTTACACTTTTGCTTAGATTGATGGCGTAAAACAGGAACAAGTATAACCTCTTTTCTACCATTGTTGATGGGTTATCTGTGTGGAACTGGAGCTTACCTGTACTTTGCCTTGTCTTCAGCATTTTACATTTTAAATGATTTTTACTACTGCATTTTTTTTTTTTTTTTTCACCAACAGGAAAAGTTGTGACCAAAGAAAAAATTCAAGAAGCCAAAGAGGTTTATAGAGAGCACTTCCAAGATGATGTTTTTAATGAGAAAGGTTGGAATTACATCCTTGAGGTAAAAACCATTTTGTTTCATAGTGAATATTAATATATTTTGTGTGTGCTTATTTTGGATAGCACATTTCCACATACTGTAAACCTCTTGTCATTCTGTGGTGTAAAAAAACCAACCACAGCTGCCCAGTAACAGGCAAAGTGCATACCCCTTATAAACCATGCCAATCTTTTTTTCTGCAGGCCTCAGAAGCCTCCATACCCAAACAGTATTTGGAGTTGTATTGCGCCCCGTCCTATCAAATTTCCAACATGCACCCTGTAAAAAATTCCATTGGTTTGCTTGTTTGTGTTTTTTGGCTTTTATTTTGATAATGCTCACTGCCACTGCATATGTTTTAAGTTACATTTCTAATCTGGTTGTATTCTACCACACCCATATAACGGCTTAGAAGGCTTCAGTGTGTTAAAGATAAAAAGAAGCATTTCATGCCAAGCTCAGTTGTGGACAGGCATTTTGTATTACATTTTGCATTTCTGACCAAATTCGGTGTTGTAATAGGGGTTTTTTTTTTTATGGAAGGGTGTATATATGCTTTTGAACACCTAGAGTACAACAGAGGAGACCAATATTTATTTTTTTATACAACAGAGGAGACACTTCTTTTTTTCTGAGATTCTTGCTTTTGAAGGGTATCCTACTTGGATGCATTCTGTAATTAAGCTCACCGATGATGTGTCCTAACCTGGACACTGAGCTCTTCATGATTATTTGACATGTATAACACCAATGTTCCGATTAACCGATTAATCGAACTTAATAATCGGCCAACTAATCGATTATGAAAATAATCGTTAGCTGCAGCCCTACCAATGTCAGTGGCATACATTAGTTTTTCCCACCAGGAAGTTGCTGCTGTTACTTTTTGATGCCGAGTGGTGCCATTACAGTCAACCCTTTTATTGAAAGAAATAAGGAAGCTACTGCTTCTGACCTCCAATAAAAATATTAGCTTGATTGCCATGTTCCTATAGTGACTTTAATACTTTTATACAGTATATCACTGTCCTAGCAAATATGCTGCCTGCTTGTGTAGGTCAGTGGTTCAAAAAACACTGAAGTCAGAGGATCAGCATGGCAGCCAAGCAATTTTTAGAAGGTCATCAGTTATGATAACTTCATTTCTCTTAGCGCAGGTTTTTTTTGTAGTTTTTATTGGATCATTCACATTCCCACCTCTCCTGTGCTAGGATCTCGCATAACACTACAAAAAGAGTGTTAAACTGTACATGGAAAGTCTAAGGAAGTCCTTGTAGTAATCTTTATACAGAGACCATTATTTGGGAAGCTGATCACTGCATTTGTATTAATAGAGAAGTTTAGAATGGAGCAATTGCAATTTAGCGTATTGAGTGTTAGAAGGCTGGATATTGCTGTATAGCAACAAAGTGGGGTCCCTTGTGCCACAGCCTGTGACTCTCCTTTGCTGAAAATCACATTACACAACTCCCCTTTTCTGATTCTGAATGCTTGTATAACAGCCCTGCCAGTCAATCTAGTACTCTAGTAGAATCCATTTTCTTGTGTTTACATGTATTGGTATACAAATGTTCACCATGACAGTAAGGTTGAGTGGGGACTCACTCTGTTTTTATTCTCACCTGCACATTTATACATTTATTTCCATAATATATTGATTATATATCAATGTGACAACCTGGAATGCTGCCAGATGGCAGGTAGCTATGAATATACTTGCATATCATGTTTTCTGTTTTGCATTGCTGTATAGCAAAACACTGATTGCAAACTGAATATACATAATAATGAACAATACATCATTTCCAGGTGATGCGGTTTAGTATTTGAGTCTGAATCCTATAAAATCTAATTATTCCTCAGATAATATTTAGTCTGCAGTGCTGCTTTTGTTGTGTAAACAGCAGTTTAAATGCATAAAGACCACACATTCCTTTTAACAATTAAAGGACTTCACAAGATTGTAAAGTGCCTATGCTCCCACTGCTTGATGCACATTCACAGCATTTGTATGATCTTTTTTTAGGAAACTGGCATTTGAACTCTGGTACATAGTGCTATCTGTGGGACTGGAATTTTTCAGCTTTCTGCCCTCTAGTATGAGAACACTATGTGAAGGACAAATAAATAAATAGCCTCATTTCAGCAATTGTTACTTCAGTGTATGAAAAGTGCCATGTTTGTAACAAAGACATCCAATTGATCCTATGACCGCATTGTGACTTTTTTTTTTTTTTTTTTTTTTCAGAATATTGATGGCCCTTTTCCTATTCAATTTTTTTTGACTGCATTTTGTCTTTTTTTTTTTTTTTTCTTCTCAGAAATATGATGGCCATCTTCCTATTGAAGTGAAGGCTGTTCCTGAAGGTAGCGTTATCCCTAGGGGAAATGTCCTGTTCACAGTAGAAAATACAGATCCTGAATGCTACTGGCTCACAAACTGGGTAGAGGTTTGTACAATTCATAAACTTTAGATTTTGTAATATATTATAACTTCTAATGTCCACTAACCAGTAATGCAGGAGTAGGTAAGATCAGTACACAATCTGTGGTGAATTCACAAATCCCATTATGTCTGGGAGTCATGTCTGTGGCTGTTGGCCTTGCAATGCCTCATGGGACTTGTAGAGTGGTGAGGTTTCCTACCCCTGCAATAAAGTATTTATCTGATTAAAATGACATCCGCTGTTGAATTCTTAATTACCTTTTCATTATGGTAATGCTTTAGTCCTGCTTCTCCTCTGCTGGTTTACTATTCTTTGTGGTATGGTGAAGGTGTACCGGCTGTGTTTGCATAAAATTGGCCTTCTGTTTACAGCCATCCTCCATAGCAGAGGTGACCAGGAGATAAATTGTGCAACACCAGAGGCATGATGTACATCTTTGACGTCCTAGAATAGAGTGGATTATTCTTGTCACCAGTGATCATGTCAGGTTGCAGCCTTAGGGTTTGCCTCTTTGACAGATAACAAGCTCATAAGCAAATAAGGTAAAGAGGCAAATCGGAGAGACCAGTCCAGTACCCTCCTACAAAATAAAATGGAGGTCACCTGTCAGTAAGTCATTTGGCTGTGCTGTATAGCTGTAAAATAAAGCTTGCTGAGTATACCTCCTAATCTGGGACCTGTTCTCCATGATTTGCCTGACATCTAGAACACCTGAATGTGGTATGTTTATTTCTGGCTGACGGAGGTTGGCAGTGTTTATCGACCGAGGTAATCTATTCCTGGCAATTGAGAAATGAGCATTTATGTTCTGCTTGGATTAAGTGTGTTCTGCCTTGCTGCTCTTCAGGGAAGCCCATTTTTTCCCCCCAGTCACACGTGAGTGTCGAGCATGAACACTGATCAAGATAAGCCTGCATTTCTTCTGATATTTTTTTTTTCTTTTTAATTTTTTTTATTCTTTATTTGTTTTACATATTTATTAACAAAAGAACATAGATGCAGGAAAAGTGAAGATTTACTGATTTTGCTTTTTAGGCTTCTCTGTGACTTGCTTGATATGCTGCACCCCTACAGAGCTGTTGGCTGGTTTATTGGTCCTGCTAATATTCACGGTTTCATTTGTGACCCAAGTGTTTTTCACTTGAAGATTGTAGATCCACTGGGGTCAATGAAAGTGTCAAAGCTTTTGTTGCCTTTTTCAGGATATTTTCATGGGGATTCTCCCCCCCCCTCCCCCCCAGATCTTTAGGGGTTTTGTTTTGACGGTACCATTATATGCCTGTTTTGATCTGTGTGCTACTAACGTTATCCTGAAGGCAAGGGTCAAAATAAGTGAAACTTAAGGTGCCCATACACTGTACAATTATCGTATAATCTCAAAGTGTATGGAAGGCATGCGACCGTTTCTACTGTATGGTTGCACGTCTTCCGTCGAACAAGCAAGCTTGAAAACCCTCATACGATTCTCGGCGAGTTAGTGGCCTGCTTCGACAACTGCCGAACGGCCCGTTGTGTGCACGCGCACACTGCCCGTTTGCAGTCATCGGAAGCCCGCCCCTCATTGCAGTCATCGGAAGCCCGCCCCTCAGGGGGGCGGGCTTGCGATGATCGTAAGTACGATCTGCCTGTCCAAGATGGGCAGATCCTACAAGCTTTTAATGAGCTTACGACCATCGCAAAACAAAAGTCTTGCGATGGTCGTAAGGTGTATGGGCACCTTTTATATTGAGTGAGAGTTCAGTCGGCTGACTATAATTATCCATCATTGGGTTAATTTTAATTAGGGGACAGTTACTATTGGATTTCTTTTTTTTTTTCTTTTAGAAGGGTGCTTTTTATGTAATGCTTGATTTGAAGACCTGAAAATGTTAAAATGCGCAATGATAAACTGGGAAAAAATCAAGTAATTGTACAGTCTTTTTACTTTGTTGTACAGTTGCTGTTAACCATTGAATTTCTAAAGTAGAATTATGGAGAGTGTGAAATACACTCATCCCCATAGTTTGAGCTAATGTGTGACATTGCAGTTGCCGCACGTCGGCTCTTTTGATTGAGAACTGAGTGATCACATATCGATGAAAGCTCAGTTCACTATCTTCTGACTGTCAAGTCACCGCTACCCACAGGGATTTCCTCCCTCCCAGTGTTAATTTTGATGGCACATTTTAATTCAGTCTTACTTTTGACCAAAATGCCATTTTAGTTGTAGTCTGTTAGTCGACTAAATCTAATGGGTTTATTTGAAGTGTAATGCGTTATTTTTAAACAAGTCCCTAAAATTCCTAATATTATATATTCCTGGAGTAAATTTCTATTAACCTGTTATGACTTCTGATTGTTGCTCCATATAGCGAGTCTTGTTCTCATTAGCATCAAATGTAAAATGCATCCATACATCTGCTCTTCTGTTCCCCTGACGTTGACATATATGACCTCTCCTCCTGCCCGTGGGGCTTCTCTGGATCCCCGTTGCTCTCCCCATCTCTATGCAGCGGGGATCCGAGAAGTGGAGGAACCGCTGCAGCTGGCAGAGGAGGAGGGAGCCGCTGTCACAGAACTAAGGCCGAACGGTGAGGAGAGAGTGAGACGCTTGGGCAGGTTCTGACAGCCGGCATCTCTCTTCTAAACCCCTGCCCCCCACCGCTCGTTCTGTAATAGCGGCTCCTTGCAGTCGCCCCCCCTCCCCCTTCCCAATCCTCTGTGCAGGACAAACACTGGAGCGATCAGCTGATCACACACACACACTCAGTGGCCAGATTTTTATGACCACCCCATCGGTACTTCGTTGGGCCACGAGATGACTTCGTTGGGCCACGAGATGACTCCACGAGATGTTGGAGGTGATGCGAGGAATCTGACACTGCACTGTTGCCCTTCTGTTGTCTTGTACCAGTCTTGCCACTCTCCGTTCTGCCCTAACATTGACTAGTCCCTGACGGCCACAATTTGCACGTTCAGACCCAGATTTTCGGCTGACAGTCCAGTCTTTAAACACTTTAACAACAGCTGCTCTTGAACATTTAACGAATTCTGCTGTTTTGCTGATAATCGCGCCATGGCTCCGAGCATCAACAATCATGCCACGTTCAAAGGCTGTTAAATTGCGTTGTTTACCCATATCTTCAGAAAAAAAAATCACTTCTAATGTCGTGGTAAACAACCTGCTTCCCTATTTATAATGGTCTGGCCCTCTAGCAACTTCAGTGCGAAATTAAAGCTAATTTGCCTACAAACGTCAGGTGGTCATAATAGTGTGTGTGTGTGTGTGTGTGTGTGTGTGTGTTCATATAATCTAATCCTCTCTCAATCTAGCTCTTGTTTTTATTTCTGTTGGGGTTCTTTTGACACTGATTTTTATTTTTTTTTTGTAACTGATTCGGGGCCTGTTCACACCGCCAAGTCTGCGTTCCAGAGCGTTCGCCCATTGGAATGCAGGCCGGCCACGTCCAGGGGGGGGCGCGTGACAATGCATTTAATTCAATGGCACCGCAGCCGCGCCCCCCACCTGTAGTGCGATCGCCTGCATCTGTATGCGTGGCACATTAGTGCCTGCGTTCCAGTCCAGTGTGATCTGCAAAAATGCTGCATGCTCCATTTTTTAGTGCCAAGCGCTCGAACGCAGACTGTGGTGTGGACCGGCCCAAAGACCCAATCATTGTGTGAGTAATTGATACATGAATCTAAGAATATTGTTAAGGATAAATGTGTAGTTTATTACAGGACCGGCACACTAAATGCCTGCTTATTTATCAGCAGTTAAATTAATTAACAATTTTTTTGTTTCTTTATAGACGATCCTTGTACAAACATGGTATCCCATCACTGTAGCAACAAACTCAAGAGAACAGAAGAAAATCCTTGCAAAGTATTTGCTGGAAACATCTGGTAGCCTGACGGGACTGGAGTATAAATTACATGACTTTGGTTACAGAGGCGTTTCCTCCCAAGAGGTAAAATGTTAGTCCCTGCTTATTACAGGTTGATAAATGTGTGTAACCAGTTTCTGGTATGGGGATGTTGTGGTGGGAACTATGAAGGTTTTTACGCATTGTCCCAACTGACACTTAGTGACTCATTTCAGTAAGCTCTAAATACCTAATGGAAATTTGAGGTCAAATAACTTGCGAGTTATTTTAACTTTCGAGTATGCAATTCAATACTAAAATCTAGGAGTTGTTTATCGAAAGGTATTTTCTTCAAAACATGCAGTATTTATCTTAAAAATGTAGGCTTTATTTCTACACTTATTTATTGTTTCCAGTGGAAAAAAGGCACATGGGTGCAGTCATTTGCACCCACGAGGCTCTATTCACACAGGAAGCGGCCGGCAAATACAGCTCCATGCTGCGTGCACAGCCGTATCGGGCAGCTCCCAGGAAGGACAAGTGCTGCATGTGATTTAGTATGCAGCCCATGTCCTTCTCTATGGGACTATGCGGCCATACGCCTCCCTACTCCCTCCCTACGCTCACCTCAAGTGCACATCCGTGCGGGTTAGCGTTCTTGTACGCCGACAGAATGGATCCTGTCTGCGTCCGAGCCAGGAAACACGCACCCACACAGACGTGCACTTGAGGTGAGTAGGGAGGCGTATGGCCGCGTAGTCCCATAGAGAAGGGACAGGGGCTGCATACTAATCGCATGCAGCACTTGTCCTTCCTGGGAGCTGCCCGATACGGCTGTGCACGCAGCATGGAGCTGTATGTGCGGGCCGATTCCTGTGTGAATGGGCCTAACATTAAAAACCAGCCATGGTGTAAAAAAAAAATGCTTTTTGTTTAGTCCTACTCCTGCCTTCAAGATGGCATTCTTCGCTGTAGCCTTCTTTGGATGAACTTATATTCCAGCAATGTGTTCTCAAATGCTTCCAGTTGCCTCACATTGGAGGTTATGAACACTTTCACACGGCCACAGGCTGACAGACTGCAAATACCGACTGCCTCAGCCCAGTAATGGTTACCACCTCCTCCCTTACAATCTGATTGGATGCAGGCATTGTTCAGGTATTTTGACAGCCAGCGGGGCCGACTAGGAAGATACTGAAGCTTGGACCAGTGGGAGATTCCTCCGCCCACACAGTTTAGCGTAGATGGAGGAATCTGTTGCACTTTTTCCATCTGACCATAGAAAATCTGCAGATAATCCATAGGTGTATGGTCAGCTTTATTCTCTGCAGCATTTGTGCGGATGTGAACTTATTAACTATTCTGATTGTTTTCAGACTGCAGGAATTGGGGCATCAGCTCATTTGGTGAACTTTAAAGGAACAGATACCGTAGCAGGCATTGGATTAATAAAGCGATACTATGGAACAAAAGATCCAGTTCCTGGCTATTCAGTTCCGGCTGCTGAACACAGGTAAGTGTGCAAATTTGGATATTTTTCCTTACCACATGTTTGTACCACTGCATGAACATACACAGCTAAAAAAATAAAATGGTGAATGTTCTAGTGCCTCTTTTGTTTTGAGCTTTGCTTAAAAAGATTGTGTCAAATTATCAGCACACTAGATGTTCATCATTGTACATTTGGTGTCCCCAAAAATTAGTTCTGTGCCATTGACCATAATATTATTTTACTCTTGGAGCAGGTTTTATACTATTCAAATGACAGATTATTGCTTTTTCTGGTCTCCTAGAACAACCTTTGGAAAAGTTAAAGGGTTATTATCAGGAGTCTCCAGTTATTATACAAAATGTTAATGGCACTCTAAGATAAAGAACTATTTATTTTATTTTTTTAAACTTTCATTGCTATCACATAGGGCGGCTTACAAGCCCCCCAAATGATAGCAGATTGGTGGTGATCGGTCTTCTTTAAGGTTATACTGGGGGTCCAAAAGACCCCTAGTATTACCTTTCTACTTTAAATAAGCTATTGAAGTGCAGATCGCACTTTAATAGCTTATTGCTGGGCTTCAGGAGCCTGAGCAATGATGGCTATGGGACCGGAAGCAATGTAATCTGCATCGTTCCCGATCCCATTTAACGGGGAGGGGGATCGGTGAACGGAGGTTCGCATAGCCCGTAGGAGGGGCAGCGGAGCCCGGGAAACACAGCGCGGCTGTCGCTTCTGCTGTTTTAAACACGCTCCTTGCCAGTGATGTACACTGTACGTCACTGGGCATGTAGGGGTTAAGGTAGGTCACCAGCACTCCAAAATGCAAAGAAAAATAGGATTTTGGTACTCACCGTAAAATCCTTTTCTCTCCGTTCATTGAAGGACACAGGGAACAGATCGGAGATCCTGTACTGTAGGGTAATATCGCCACCTGCAGGAGAAGGACGCTAGGCACAAAACTAAAGACCAATCACAGCCTAGGGGCGGCCCCTGCCGGTGGCCAAAACCCCCCACCTGCTGACAAGTCTCCAGTTTAGTAACAAGCAGTAAAGGAGTACACACCCATATAGAGGGGCGGGCCCTGTGTCCTTCAATGAACGGAGAGAAAAGGATTTTACGGTGAGTACCAAAATCCTATTTTCTCTCCCGTTCATTGAAGGACACAGGGAACAGATCGGAGATCATGTACTGTAGGGACGTCACAGAGCAGTACCAAAAAAGAGGGGTGGGCCAACAGAAACAACAAACCCAACTTAAAACAAAAAAATCCCCTCAAACGGCCGCCTGCAACACTTTGCGCCCCAAACCAGCATCCGCAGATGCCAAAACATCCACCTTATAAAACTTGGCAAAGGTGTGAACAGAAGACCAAGTCGCGGCCTTACAGACCTGAGAAACGGAGGCACCATGACGAAAAGCCCAAGATGCCCCAACAGCCCTTGTAGAATGGGCCGTAACAGAAAAAGGAGGCTCACGCCCCTTAATAGCATACGCCTGAGAGACCGTGTCGCGAATCCATCGAGAGATGGTGGCCGACGAGGCAGCCCGGCCCTTCCGAGGGCCATCTGCAACGACAAACAGGGAATCCGATTCCCGAAACGCAGCCGTAGCACTCAGATAAACACGGATGGCGCGGACCACGTCCAGACAGTGCAGCGCCTTCTCCTTCCTGTGGACAGGCCGCGGACACAAGGAAGGCAGGACAATGTCCTCATTGAGATGGAAAGCCGAAACTACCTTCGGCAGGAAGGACGGTCGAGGCCGCAGAACCACCTTGTCCCGATGCAGGACCAGCAACGGGGACGAGCAAGAGAGGGCCGCCAATTCCGAGACCCTGCGGATCGAGGTGACTGCCACCAGAAAGGCCACTTTTTGAGATAGAGTCAGAATTGGAATGTCACGCAGAGGCTCAAAGGGAGATTCCTGCAACACTGAGAGTACCAGATTCAGATCCCATGGCGGCAACGGGGAGCGAACAGGGGGGACGATACGTGTAACCCCCTGCACAAAAGTGCGAACGAAAGCGTTGGAAGCTATCGGCCGTTGAAAAAGGACCGCCAAGGCCGAAATCTGGCCCTTGATCGTACTCAAGGCCAAACCCTGATCCACACCCCGCTGTAAAAAGGAGAGGATCCTGGCAACTGAAAACAAACGAGGCGGAAATCCTACCGACTCACACCAGGCAAAATAAGCCTTCCAAGTTCGATAGTAAATCCGTCGGGACACAGGCTTGCGAGCCCGCAACATCGTAGAGATAACCGCATC